GAGTTCGAATCCTGCTTAATAGCTGTGTGACCCTGGGCAAGTCATGTGAGCCTGTTTCCTCTTCTGGACTAAGTCATCTCTGAGGTCCCTCCCGGGGCCCAGGCCTGTGATCCCACCCTCTGCCGTCTTCTGAGTCGGAGTTGTTTTTCCCTGGAGGATGAGAGGAGACCCTAGTTCTCCTGGACTATGGCCAAGCTAAGTCCAGCAAGAGGATGGCCTGAAGGGACAGGCGTGGCTAGGCTGCAGAACAGAAAACTCAGGGAGGGATGTGAGAACTATTTTTGAGTATTTGAGAGACTGTCTTGAGGGAAAATCATGGGATCACAGATGGAGAGCTAGAGGAGAAAATCTCAAAGGACATTTCATCCATCCATTTGTCCCACTTTACAGATAAAGAAACTGAGGCACATAAAGGAGAATTGACTTGGGATTAGCCTTGGTGGGCTCGGCCCCAGCAGGTTGAACCCAGAACGAGGGGAGAAGCTTGCAAAGAGGCAGATAATGATGGTCAGCATTGATAGAGCATTGGAAGGCTCACAAAATGTTATACATTTATTATCTCACTGGAGCCTTAGAATAACCCTATGAGGTAAGGGCTATTATGATTTCCATTTGACAGTTGGGGAAACTGAGGCAACCAGAGCTTGCCCCCCCCCAGGTCACACAACTGGTGTCTGGGGCAGGATTTGAACTCAGGTCTCCCTGGATCCAAGTCCAGCGTTCTATCCCGTATGCCGCCGAGCTTCCTCAGATGTAGGCTTAATGTCAGGAAACGTTAGTCAGTGAGACTCATTCAAAAGCAGAAGGAGACAACTTGAGAGGTGACAGGAGGCAGCTGGTGTCACAGTGGATGACAGAGCGAGAAACTCGTCATGAGGAAGTCCCGAGCTTGAATCTTGCTACAGACACTGCGACCCTGGGCAAGTCATGGCACTGCTGTCTGCCTCAGTTTCCCCATCTGTAAAATGGGGATAACGATACCGCTGTTCCCCGGGTTGTTATGAAGATCAAATAAATCATATGCAAAGCAGGTCTTAGAGTGGCATATAAATGCTGGCTAGGCTTATCACTGTAATTCAGAAGAAGGTTTTTTGGATACCTCTTCATTTTTTACACTAGCATCACTTCCCAACATGACCTCACGTCAAACTGACCACCCGCCTAAAACCTTCCTTTGTGCCAAAGAGGAGCATAGCCAGTTGCCCCGGCTGCCTGGGCTGGTGTATTCAGCACTCAGCACCAGCAGCCCCCCACCTCTCCTAGGAGATCGAGGTGTGTTCCATCAGCTGTTGGCAGGCACCAGTCTTGGTCATTGGCTTTCACTGGATTTCCATTGCCTTCTGGGTTGTCTTCACTTACATTCTGGCCGCGCTTTTGTTCACGGTTCTCAGGGTGCACTGGCAACATCCAAGCAGAGGTGGACGTCCACTTGTCAGGGGCGTTAGCGAGAGGATTCTTGCTCAGATACAGGTTGGACTTAGTGGTCCCCGTGGTCCCTTCCAGCCTGTGGCATCGTGGGTGGGAAGGCTCACCCAGCAGGGGCTCGGCCACCAATGTGACAGTGACCGGAGATGTTTGCCATTCTCCCCCGGGCTTCCGGACCGTCTGGGTAGAAAATAGCCCGACCCCGGGGCCTCCGGAGGCATAGCTCTGGGGCTGGCCTATGTGGTCATCCTTCCCAGATTAGGGCCACATCTGGAGTGTCCCTCCACCTCCTGCCCTGCGGCCAAGAAAAGACCTGAGGCTCCGCCCAGTCTGGTGTCTCATCTCCTTATTTAAACTCAATCTGCCCTGACCCTGCCCTCTGCTGAGGCTGTCTCCCTGCCTCCTCTCATCCCAGCGCCTCCCTCTCGCTCCCCTCCTCTCCGGCTAACGTTCAGTTTAATTAAACAATTCATCCATTCAGTTTTCTGTCTGTCTGTCTCTGTCCCTCTGTCCATCCATCTGACTGTCCATTTGCCCACTTGTCTGCCATCCATTTATCCATCCGTCTTTTCTCTTTGCCCATCCGTCTGTTCATCTGTCTATATCTATATTTGTCTATCTGTCCGTCTGTCTATCCACCTGTTTCTCTTATCTGTCTATCCAACCATCTACCTATCTATCTATTGCTGTCTCGACACATCTGTCTGTCCATCTGTCTTTCTGTCCATCCATCTGTCTCTTATCTATCTTTCTTGTATATCTATCCATCTATATCCATTTATCTGCCTGTCCATCTGTCTGTTCAGCTATCTGTCCATCCATCTAATCTATCTGTCCACCTGCCCATCTATCTGTCCGTCTGTCCATCCGTCCATCCGTCCCTCCATCCGTCCATCGCCCCTCCAATGTAGAATCCCATGCTGGCCCATGAGCATGTCAGATCCGCCCTCGCAGAGCTTACAGCCGAGGAAGGGGCCGTTCCACCTTCCAGACTTCTCAAGCCCCTCCTCTGGATTGGGGCTGTGTGGGGGCAGCCCCCGTGCTCCTTGAGCATAGAGTCTATGAGGCAGGAAGCGTGCAGTAAGTGCCTCCCCTAGGCTAGGTGGTACACAAAATGCTTTTTAAAATAAGGTCATAGGGCCCTTGGAGGCTGCTGACCCCAACCCCTGCCATTTACAGATGAGAAAACTGAGGCCCAGATAGGTGAAATCATTTGCCTCCAGTCACATGACCAGTTTGCAGCCAAGTCAGAATTCAAGCCCAGGTCCCAGAACTACAAGTTCAGGGCCTGATAGTATGGTGCAGTGGGTAGTGCGTTAGCAGGCGATATTTCAGAAGGCTGAGGGGCCAGAGTGCAGAAGGTTCTAGCTCCCCGGCTGCCTTGTGGCTCAATCAGAGCTCAGCTGGAGTCTTGGGTCCAGCCCTGAGTGCCCGATGTGTATGAATGATGATGAAAACGTGGAGCATGCTGGGAGGAGAATGGGCAGGAAAGCAGAGAGCGTGCCAGCTGGTCATCAGTCACAGGAGCAAGGGTGTTGAAGCTGGAGAAGAGAATGCTGGGGTCAGGGTCCCGGGAGCTGGGTTTGAGGAGCTGAAGAGCTGTTCCGTGCAAAGGGATGAGCCTTTTTCTGCCCTCTGGGGCCAAGCCCAAGGTGGAGCATGAGTTGTAAATGCAGGCTTGATGTGCAGGGGATGAGAGCTGTCTCAAGAGGAAGGCAGTGGGGGCTAGATGTCCTCTGGAAGTAAAGGCCCAGGGTCAGAGCAAAGGCCAACCCTCGACCCTGCAACCACTGACTGGCCCACTCTCGGCAGCCTTTGCCCCTGGCGGCAGGTGACGGCCAGCCGTGACCGTGGGGGAGGGGATGAGGGGATGTTGGGGGAGAGGGCGGCTCCCTGCTGGGCTGTCCAGGGCCTGCCGCTCACTTCCTAAGGGTCCTGGGAGCCCACAGGGCAGGGCGGAAGCCGAGAGGCAAACCAACCTCTGATCCAGAGTAAACTGGCCCAGCCCAGCGCTCAGCATTCAAGGGCTGGCCCTGGCAAGGGGCTGGGCACGGATGCCAATGAATTCTCAAACAGAAGCTTTCCATCTCCTGACCTGGCTGAGGGCAGCTCTCAGCATCCCCACTGCTCTGCCTTCCCACTTCACTGCAACAATTATATTTGTAATTTGGTACATATCACTTTGGTGTATGTCACTGTGTGTGTTTACAGGCAGATGATAAGCCCCTTGGAGGCAAGGGATGTTTCATTTTTGTCTGTGTATTCCCAGCACTTATCACCGAGCTAGCATACAGTAGGTGCTTGATAAATGCTCGCAGACTGATTGACAGGCATTTGTTAGGCACTTATCAGGTCCAAGGCTCTGTGCTCAGCCCTGGAGGGAGAGGAACAGAGACAAAGCAAAGGCCCTGCCCTCAGGAAGCTTACTTCTAATAGAGGAAGGCATCTGTCCGGTTCTGGGCACCTGACTCCAGCAAAGACACAGACAAGTGTGGGGAGGGGATTGGCGGGCATTGGGAGGGCATGAGCCGACACAGGGGAGGCTCTGTACCGGAGCAGAGGAGACTCCAGGGACATGGTAGCCGTGTTGAAGTGTCCGAAGGCGCCCTTTGGAGGAAGGATGAGCCTCAGTCTCCTTGGCCCCAGGGGGCAGATCCAGGAGCTGGGGGGAGGCGTGGAGAGGCCCACTGAGGCCGGATGGCAGGAAAACCTCCCTCCCTGTTAGTGCTATGCCTGGGTTTAGGGGCTGCCTTGGGACAGACCCCCTAACGAAAGGGAAGGTGATGAAGGCCGGGTCCTGGTCCCGGGCCAAATGCTGAAAATAGTTAATTGGATTTAATTCAACAAACATTAGTAAGCACCTGGTGTATACACCAGACCCTGTGGGAGCAAGGACGCCTAACAATCTGTGTCCTTGAGTTATATTTCATTAGGGGACAATGGACTAAACCAGTCAATCAAACAGCAATTATTAAGCGCCGACCATGGGCCGCGCGCTTCCCGATGGTGTGGAGAAACAAAGGAAGCTACTCTCCCATTCTGACAGAGGAGACAACATTTAAATAGCTAGGTTTGTACAAGATACATCCAGTGTAGATGGAGGGCGATGACCAGGAAGGCCTGAGGAGGAGTCTCCTCTGTCATGGAGGACAGCCAATGCAAAGGTGTGAAGACGCGAGGCAGGACAGCTGGACACACGGTGCCTGGCACACAGTAGGTGCTTAATAAATGCCTGTTGACTGATTTACTGACAGTAGACAACACAGAGGGGACTAATGTGTGAGAAGACCAGAAAGATAGGAAAGAGGGACATTATTAAGCACCTGCTGTATGCTAGCCATTGTACAAGGTGTAGAAGGCACAAAGACAAAAAATGGAACCATCCCTGTCCTCAGGGAGCTTCCATTCTCCTGCGAGAATGCTCCTCCGATTGGCTGTGGCCGTGTCCTGAAGGAGGACTCCAAGGGCTTGCGTGTTTGTTTGAGGGGTGGTAGGGGAGCTGTTTGGGGTCAGTGGTTCCCCACGGTGTCCGGGCAGGGCAGCCTCTGAGCACCCGTCCCTTCTCTGTGTCCTAGGAACAAAGTCCAGGCAATCAGACGTCCCTGGCAATGATGCAGGAGCCCCAGGAGATGGTCGAGGAGACGGTGACGGTGGAGGAAGACCCAGGCACACCCACGTCCCACGTGTCCATCGTCACGTCTGAGGATGGGACCACCCGGAGGACAGAGACCAAGGTAAGAGGGCCTGGTGGAGGAAGCCAGGGCAGGAGTGACTCTCCCCCAACCCCCATGGCGGGGGGATCTTCATTTGGGAAGATGGGGGGCTTGAGCTGGTTCTAACAGAGGCAGGAGCTGCCATGAATAGAGCATAGGATTTGGAGACAGGAAGGCCTGGGTTCAAACCCTGCCCCAGAGGCTTATTATCAGACCCTGTGTGACTCTGTCTAGTCACTTGATCTCCGGGCCTCAGTTTCCTCCTTTGTAAAATGAGGGAATTGAACCCAGTGGCCTCCAAAGGCCCTTCTGGGTTAGTGTCTATGACCTAATCAGTCTGTGTAAAACATGAGGGCCATCTGTCATCTTGAGAGGCTTCATGGACCAAGATGGCAGCAGGAGCCCTGTGGGTCCAACCCCCACTCTGCCATTCACCTGTGACGAGTCCTCTCCCTCTCTGGCCTTCAGCTTGCCTTCCATTCATTCTGTGAGCATTTACTCAGCACCTGAAGTGGGCCGTGGGTTTGCATTTAAATCCCGGGACAGCCTGGCTCCGGAACCTTTTCCAGACTAATTGCACAGGGCTAGCCTTCACTCATTCTGCTTTACAGCCACACTGGCCTTCTCACTGTGCTCCAAGTTTGGCATTCGATCTCCCACCTCCAGACCTTTGCTCAGGCTGTCCCCTCCTCCTGGAATGCACTCCCTCGTCACCTCTGACCTCTTCAAACCCCAATATTCCTTCAAGACTTGACTCTAGGGCCACCTTTTGCGTTCCCCATTGCGGGCTCCCTCTCATTTCCTGGAACTCCTTTGGTTTTGATTTCATTGATGTTTTGTGTTCTCTCCCCCTGGAATCTAAGCTCCCTGAGGGCAGGTTCTGCTTCTGTTTTTCTCTCTGTCCCCAGCATTTGGCTCAGGGTTCAATGCATAGAAGGACTTAATAAATGCTTATTTCTGGTTTGACAGTGTTTCTGTTGTTTCCCTGGAGTGGAAAGAAGCTTCCTGAGGGCAGGACTTACTACTTCCTTCCCAAATTTGCCTTCTCCTCCTCCTCATTGAACAGATGGGAGCTCTTGGAGGACTGGGACCCCCGTTTTTGGCCTTTCTTTGTATCTCCAGCACTTAGCACAGTGCCTTGTACACAGTAGGCGCTTAATAAATGCTTTTTGGCTGACTGATTAGATGTCCTCCATGTCCCTTCTGGCTCTAAAACTAGAACCTCGTGTATACAGGTAACCACAAATGCCAGAACCGGACCAAGTATAAGAAAATTCTTTTAAATGGGAGAGAGTGCTGAACACTGGGTAGGAGGAGGCCCCTGTCTTGTAGGAAGGCCAAGGTGAGGAAGGACTGTGTGCCTGGCATGGGCACAAAGGTGGGAGTTGAGGGGCCAGGGCAGAGGAGGCCCATTTGTCTAGAATGGAGACTGCAGGAAGGAATCTCTTGGGCGGCAGTGTGGAGGAAAAAAAATTTGTTTTTAAAGATGGAGAAACTGAGGCTCGGTGAGGTTGCCTGAGGTCACCCAGAAAGGCAATGACCAAGCCAGCTCTCAAACCAAGCCCAGGCAGGGTTCTCTCTCCCCGGCACCCGGCTGTTCCTCGGGCAGGATCCACCAAACACAGCTTCAAAGGCCTTTGGGCAAGAGCTGGAAGTCGAGGGCCAGAAGAAAGTCTGCCAGCCGCGGGTGTCTGGGGGAAACGGAGACCCCTTAGACAAACAGCACAGCACCAGGGCCGCAGCAATCAAGCATTCCAGCCCAGAGGAATCAGAGTCATGCAGGGATGGGAGCTCGGGTTTCCACCGGATGAGAGGAGTTAGGACTGGGAGGAGGGATCTGAGAGGCGGTCTGCTTCATTTTAGTGAAGGGGAAACCGAGGCACAGGGAAGGGGAAATGATTTGCCAGTGGGTGATTTTTATTAAGTACCTACTACGTGCCAGGCACCCGTGCTAAGTGCTTTACAAATACTATCTCATTTGAGTCTCACAATAACCCTGGGAAGTAGGTGTTAAGTATTATCCTCTTTTTACAGATGAGGAAACAAAGTCCCAGAGAAGGTGAAGGACTTGCCCAGGGTCACACAGAATTCAAACCTACATCTGGAGTGGTAGCAAGTAAAGGGCGCTGGATTTAGAGTGACTGGACCTAGGTTGGAATCTTGGCTTTACAGTCTGTGTAAAGACCTTGGCCAAGCCACTCCCCTGCCTTGAGCCTCAGTTTCCTCCTCTGTAAAATTGAACTAGAGGACCTCGAGGGACCGTTCTAGCTCCAGAGGGCTGGTCTTGGGATCCTCTGATGTCGCCTGGCACCGAATAAATAGTCAGTGAACATTTATTAAGCACCTACTATGTGCTGGGCTCCTTCCACCTTATCCCATTCTTAAAGCCCTTCCCTCTATTAACAAGGCGGTTCAAGGCCTTTTGCTCAGTCATTGCTGCTGTGTCTGACTCTCTGTGACCCCTTTTGGGGTTTTCCTGACAGAGAGACTGGAGTGGCAAACTGCCATTTCCTTCTTCAGCTCATTTTACAAATGAGGAAACTGAGGCAAACAGTGACTTGCCCAGGGTCACACAATTAATGAGTGTGTGAGTCCAGATTCGGATTCAGGTCTTCCCTACTCCGGGCCGTCTCGGTCTATCCACTGGGCCACCTCGCTGCCGCAGTCCGAGGATTATCCTCCGCATTTTACAAGTGAGAAGACGAGGGCTCAGAGGGGTTAAGTGAGTTCATTGAGTCATAGACTTCAAGCTGGAAGACTTAGAGACCGTCTGATCCAAACCCCTCATTTTACAGAGGACGAAGCCAAGGCCCAGAGAGGCTGACACACTTAACCAAGGTCACACAGGCTGTGATAACAGAGCCAGGATTCAAACCCAGTTCTTCTGACTCTAAGTCATAGGAGCGTGCATCTAGAATCCTCGGAGTTAGCATTTACTAATAATAATATGTGATAATATATAATAATAATATATGATAATAACAATAATCTATATAATAATAATAATAAAGCCCAGCATTTACTGGGCTTTAGATTTGCAAAATGCTTTCCCTATATTAATTCATTAAGGAGGTTGGTGTCCTCACTTTACAGATTATTGTTTTCCTCACTTTATTATTGTCCTCACTTTACAGATGAGGAAACTGAGGCAGGTAGAGATTAAATGCCTTTCCAGGGTCACACAGCTAGTAAGTGTCTGGTGCTTCTGACCCCAGGTCCAGTGTTCTGTATACCTTACCGCTATCGATTCCTCCCACCCCCATTTTGCAGATCAAGAAACTGAGGCTCAGAGAGATTAAGTGATTTTCCCTTCGTCGTACAGCTAGTTAAGCGCCGGAAGCAGGACTCTTGACTTGCCCAGGATGGGCCGGCCAGCTGCTAAGCATCAGAGCTGAGATGCCAGGCTGGGCCTTCCAGTTTCCCCCCATGACAGCTGGGAGGGCAGGCCGATGGTGGCTGCTGAATCAGCCTGTGGCCAGACAGAGCCCTAGGAGGGCCGGGGAAGTGGGGCCAGGTCACCAAGGACTGAGCAAAGCCTCGCCAACGCCCAGGCCAGCCGCGGTGCAGACGACGGGGGCCGAGCTGAGGCCACGGACAGAGGCTCGCTCAGGAAATGAGCCCCGTCTGCCGGGTGGGGGTGATGCTCTGAGAAGCCCCTCTCTCTTCCCCTGTGTCTTCAGCCACCTCAGAGTAATGCCATGAATGATGTTTGTGATTTTGAAAAACACTGTGTGATAACGTTCACGATTTGGAATCACAGCCCTATTTCTGCGGCCCATTAACTTTTACAGCCACCTGGTGACGAGGGAAGCGGTGCCGGGATTATTACGTCCGTTTTGCAGACAGGGTAACTAAGGCTGATGAGGTGAAGTAAGTGGCTTGTCCTCAGTCATGCCTCGAGGAGGGGTTAGCTTTGGATTCGAATCCGGGTCTTCTGACTTCAAGGCCACACTGCCTTCTGTCGGACCGGCCTGTGCTGGTCAGATTGCCCCGAGGCCACCATCTCTCTGGCTGTGTTAGCGCCCCGGGGAGGGTGAAGGACAAGGGGGTGGAGAAGATGAGGACGGGCCCAGTGCTGGGCCCAGCTTTGAGGCCTCTCTCCTCCGTAACATTGGGCCGGCCCGTTCAGCTGGCTCCACGTGGTCCTCAGCAGACACAAAGGGCATCCTCACGTAAACAGACCCGACCAGTGGTCCTCTAGCCTGCCAGGCCAAGGCCCAGAGCACATCTTGAGTGCTGGGCATGAGGCTGAGTCCTGGACATACAGACATACAAGTGAGGACAGAGTGCCTGCCCTCCCAGAGCTTACATTCCAATGAGTAGAGACAACTCTCAATGTTAGCAGGTCTCCCCTGACCCCAGGCTCCTTTTCAGTTTCCACGCAGTGCTCCTGATTCTGCCCTCTCCTCCCAGGATGGCCCTTAGGAAGCCATCTTGACTGCCCCCCTCCCCTGCCCCGAGCCTTCTAGTTCCTTTGATCCTTTCCAGCCCTCTAACGCTCTGCTCCCTCCCTCCCTCTCAATCTAGCCTCGGTGGCCAGCTTGCTAGTTCTCATCCATGCTGCTCCACATCTCCCACCTCCGCGCCTTTGCACTGGCTGTTCCCCACACCTGCCCTCCCTCCCAACCTCCAGCTCTTAGAATGCCTGGCTCTCTTTAAGACTCAGCTCACACACCACCTCCCCCAGGAGGCTCTCTGATGCCCCCAGCCGCTGGTCCCCTCACCTCTTTCTTCTGTCCTTAGCTTGCTTGTGCTGACTTTCGTACCTTGTCTCTGTCATTAGGATGTAACCCCTCAAGGGCAGGGACTGGTTTTTGCTCCCTCTTTGTAATCCTGGTGTTTAGCCTAGGGCCTGGTACACAGTAGGTGCTTCATGAGTGCGTGAGCTATTTGCCATGGCCTCTGGGCCCTCCCATCCTCTTTCCCCTCCTCTGGACACTCTCATAGATCCAGAGTTGGAAGTGTCCCCGGAGGCCTCATGATGCAGCCCCTCATTGTAGAGAGGACCTAGCTTTGGCACACAGTAGGTGCTTAGCAGACGTTCACTGACTGACTGACATTGACAGGCCAAGGATGACCAGGACGAATAGTCAGCCCCAAGATGAGAAGAGTCAGGGGGAGGAGAGGGCGGGGCAACGGAAAGAGGTTCAGTTCTTGGTCTGCTCGGCCCAGGAGGGCAGACCCAGGAGCGGTGGAGAGGCGTTCGCCCCGGGAGGCAGAGGTAGGCCAGATGTCAGAACCAATGTCCTCACAGTGAGAGCTGCCCCAAAGTAGAGCGGCGCTGCCGTGGGAGGTGGTGAGCTCCCTGACCTTGGAGGGCTCCAAGCCTGTTGTGAGGGAGCCTCTTGTTAACTGAATAAATGAAAGAACGAGTGAAAGAGCATTTATTAAGCACCTACTATATGCCAAGCATTGTGGATACAGTAAAAGGCCAGAACATCCCCTGCCCTCGGAGAGCTTCCAGTCTGATGGGAGGTGATAACCCGGACACAAATCAGAACAGATCAGAATAAGACTGGAGGAGCTGGGAGGGGGTAGAGGGCACGGAAGGCCCCCTGGAGGAGGTGGCACTCAACTCAGCTCGACTGAGTCTTAAGGGGAGCCGAGGATTCCAGGGGGTGGTGGATGGGAGGAAGAGGACAAAGGCCTGGAGGTGGGCAATGAAGGGTCCTGTGGGCGGACCGAAAGACCTCAGTGATTCTGGCCCAATTTCCTCATTTTACTGTTGAGGAAACAGAGGCCCAGAATGGAAAAGTGGGGAACCGAGACTGCGAGGCCCCCACGGTGCCTCAGATAATAAGTAACAACAGAGGAATTTCTGTTTGTTGACCGACTGATAGAGCCAAGCCTGCCTTCAGAGCCGCTCTCTTGCTTGGGCTCAGTCCCCATCCCCCCATCTCATCAACATGTGCTTCTTTGGTGAGATAGAAGAGAGAGCAGCAGATGGGCCCTGGGGACAAGGGCACGAGCCCCAGGGCCTGGGACCCTTGCCCCGAGGCCGCCTACGTGAGGAAGCTGGCCGGGATAGGCTAAGAACGAGGGGCGTGTTCTCCGCCCTCCAGCTCCCCCACTCCCCCAGGAACTGTCAGTGGATGGGAATGGGGCTGGTTGGTGGTGGTGACACCACAGGCCTCTGAGCCAGGGCCAGGGCGGCCTGGGGGGCGGGCAGTGCGGAAGACAGGATTTCTCAGAGGCTCCAAGGCCTGAGCGGGCCAGGGCATACCTGAGACAGGGGCCAGTTTTCTAGGGTGACAGAAAACAGGGCAGACCAGTAGGTTATTAGGACCCTAGATCAAAAGCTGGAAGGGTCCCCAGGGGCCATCCGGCCCAACCCCCTCATTTTACAGATGAGGAAACTGAGCCCCAGAGCAGGAAGTGATATGGCCAAAGTCACACAGTCATAGGAGGTTATGGATTGAGAGCTGGAAGGAGCCTTGGGGAGACCCAGAGAGGAGATGGGGAGGGAGGGAAGGAGAGAGGAAGGGGAGAGGGGCTCCATGCACCGTGTCACCAGCTGCCAGAATCACACAGGTAGTAAGTGACAGAAGCTGGATTCGAACCCAGGTCTGCTTGACTCTAAGTCCAATGCTCTTTGCCCTGCCAGAGCAGTGAGTTGCCCTCGTCAAGTATGTTGTGGAGGAGATGCGTGAGAAGACACCAGGAGTACACGGGGGAGGGAGGCATCCAGGGAGGCATCTGCCGGGAGGTCACCTTTGAGCTGCGGGGGAGGCTGGTGTGATTTCTACAGCAGAGACGGGAGAGGAATGTCACCCCTGGCAGAGGGAACAGCCTGGGCAAAGGCCTAGTGGCTGGAGAGGACAAGGCCTATTCGAGGACCAAGGGAGGGTCTAGTTTGATGGCTCCTAAGAGAAAAGGAAGCAAGAGGTGTGATGTGAGTGCACTTGCCAGGGCTGATGTTACAGTGATGGAGCCCAGCCTGAGATCTCGTGTGTACCAATATGTCTCCTCCATTAGAATATAGGCGCCTTTAGGACACAGTAGGTGCTTAATAAATGCTTGTTGATTTATTAAAAAACGAAAAAACCATCCAGTGCAGTGTGAGCCAGGAGATCTTGGAAAGGCCTTTGAACTTTTAGGTTTTGAGACTTGGTGATGCTGTGAAATGGGGACAGTCCATACCTT